TGTTAAAAAAAAAAAAAAGAAAGTTGTATTTGTTTCTGAACCCATGTATCCCAGTTATACTTTTTATTATAATCATCACTTAATTTATTCCTACATAGTTGGAAGAAGTATGAGAATGGCAAGGTAGTTTCTGTAAAAACTAAGGCATTTGCTTTGGAATTTTACTCAAGCTAGTTGATAGATTGCAGTTGATTCAGGTGTGCAGAAGACAACTAACGAAATATTGGTGGAAAAGTCTTGAAGGACTGCATTCAGATTTGTTCACAAATGTCTTTAGTTTCATGCCATTTAAAAGAAACTGGACACCATAACTGTTGCAGTGTTGTAATATTTTATTAAAGACAAAAGCCACATTAATATCACTTGGCAAGTGATGCAAGGTCTTATGTTGAAAGATTTGTATGATTTTAGTTAAAATGAAATATATTCATGACTCCCTCTTTTGTCAAATATTTTGATTTACTTACCAGTTTCCCACGTACTGTGTGTGTGTGTGTGTGTGTGTGTGTGTGTTGCACATGCTTGGTTGGGTATTCAGGTAATATAATCAGGGACTCTTAAAGCTCTAAGTGTCTTTAGAGAAAACAAACCCTGGGAAGTGATGTGATTTGCTGAATTTCACAACAAATGAAATGGTGAATCTTTTACTTGAATTAAGGGCGTATATGCCAATCTAGTGTTCTTTTACAGAAATCCTTAATTGATTTGGGTGTGTTTTTTGCATTACTGATGCTGAGCTGCACACTGCTTAGCAAAGATGGAACCAGTGAAGCAATTTATATAAATCTCATTGCCGGCCCACATATTTGGGATATTCACTGCATTTTTTTTTTTTGGTATTAGCATTAAATAGCTTAAAGATTTAGAGAGGCAAAAGGAGCTCCTCACTTTATGTTCTGTTTCAGAACTTTAAGGAGTAAAGAGACTGTCCTATGCACCTCATGTTGCCTTTCTCCAGGGACCTATTAAGAGTGTTTTTGACCCTGAGAGAGGAATCAGTAAATCACTATGTATCGAGTGTTTCCAATGTTCAATACATTACTTAGCCATGGGAGATACCACTGTGAATACAATGAGCATGGAATAAAACAGATGAAGTCTCTGGCTTCCTGAGATTTTTATCTCAGCAGTTGTATTTATCTCTACCAGTTGAATTATTTAACTGTAGGTTGTAAGTGCTATAAAACATGAAAAATTTGGTGCTATGAGATCCATACCTCGTCTGAAGGAATATGGCAGAGAGAGAGGGGGGCGAGGGGTATTGAAGGCTGCCATGTAGAATAGATATTTTAGATGAACTCTAAAGTAAGTGGGAATTGTCAAGCCAATGTGGGGGAGAGAAGGGAAATGTGTGGAGAGTGGGCAGGGGTGAGCAAACTTGGCAGAGGGATTAGCCTGTCCAGAGGCTCTGAGATATGAAGGGGGATATTTGAGAAATAGAAAGAAAGCCTGTGAGTCAGCAGAACAGAAAGGAAGGAGGAAGGTGGAACTGATGGTGATGAGGAAGTAAGCCTGGTCCTCCTGGGCATGCGAGATCTTCAAGAAAGTATTCATGCTTAACCCGGAGATTGATGGGGGAGGTATTGAACCGGTTTTGATTCTCGTATTTTGTACTATCATATTTGTATTTTTATTTTTTTGTTTTTTACATTTTACCATCTTTTTTATTGTGATAAAACATGCAAAATTTTAAAAAGACCGCTCTGGCTGCTCTATGGAAAACAGAATGGAGGGGAGACAAAGGTGGATGTGGGAGACCATTTAAAATAAAAGGCCAGGAATAGAATGCTGGCATTAGGGATGGAGATAAAGGCATGCAAATATATGTTGAGAGGTACACTGGTTTGCTTTTTGCTTTTGTACTTTAATAAAACTTCATTACTTGCTTGCATTCCTAATTAACTTCCGTAATTCTTGCAACCATTCTGTCAAGATACATAAGCTTCAGGGGCCTGCTATGAATTTTAGATTTTCAAGGTAGGGTTGAATATATTACTTATTCTCTTGGTCATATAGGAAATAATGCTCTCCTATCTTTAAGTTCAGGAAAGGAAAGCTTAGTAATAAAATGAAAGTGTAGGTAATAGCATTTATTGTAATAATCCGGGTGTTTTTATTAGAATAGAAATCAAGTGGAGGAATACTTTAAACAAAGTGAAAAAGAGCCTTGACTATAAGGGTACCTGGATGGTTCAGTTGGTTGACCATCCAACTCTTAATTTCGGCTCAGATCATGATCTCAGGGTCATGAGATCGAGCCCTGCCTTTAGCTCCGTGCTCGATGTGGAGGCTGGTTGGGATTCTTTCTCTTCCTCTTCCCCTCCCCCCACTGTCATGCTAGCGTGTGTGCTCTCTCTCTCTCAAATAAATCTTTAAAAAAAATAAGAGCCTTGCCTATAGGCATAATTTAAGAATAATTGATACTAAGAGCTCTAATAGAAAGCTACATGTGGATCAATTGAAGAAAATGTGGCTATTATATAAATTGAATGACTTTTTAATTGATTTTTCTATTCATGTTCCATTTATTACATATTTATCAGTACATTCTAATTTTAGGGAGTACTTCACTGTCATCAGAATATTTTCAAATTTTGTTAAGACAAATACTACTAGAAATTGTTAGTAGATGTTTTCCTAATTTACAAAGGGAAGCAATTTACTACTGTTGTTCTTTTCTTCCTAACCTAGAAAAGTTCCTTTGAGTTGAGCAAAGGGAAAATAATGATCTTAGGTAGAAATATAGAATGCTGTTCCTGGTTTTCTCCACCCTCAACATACTTGTATATTGAAAGTAGAAATCCCTATTTTATTTTATTTTTTTAAAAAGATTTTATTTATTTATTTGACAGAGAGAGATACAGTGAGAGAAGGAACACAAGCAGGCGGAGTGGGAGAGGGAGAAGGAGGCCTCCCACCAAGCAGGGAGCCCGATGCGGGGCTCCATCCCAGGACCCTGAGATCATGACCTGAGCCGAAGGCAGACACTTAACGACTGAACCACCCAGGCACCCCAAAGAAATCCCTATTTTAAATTGAAAATAAATTTTATGTATTTGCATTGCTTGTTTATTTTCACTTATTGTCAATGTTATTATATCCTCTGTAATGAGTTGAGATGGGTTTAAAATGCCTTCTAAAATTAGTAAATTTTATTTTGTTTGAGAATTTCAATAACTTATATAAATAGCATTATGCCCTGAAACAAAACAGATATAATTTGAAAGATGTATTCAGCTTTCTTCTAAATTTGTTAGAATGACCATTTTATGGATAAAATGAGTATTGGCCTATGCCAACTGAATTCTGTTATAAAATTTTTAGATGTGGATGATTTTTTACAAATAATTTATGTAAAGACTTTTGAAAGATGCTTATACAGATTGTGTTTTTTTTTTTAATAAAAAAAAGGGAGACTCTAGAGACTGCTAGGTTTAAGTTTTTATTTTCGGTTTTATGTTGAAGCTGAGTATTGTCACCAAAGTTAGTATATGCTTATATACTATGGCTCTTGTAGTATTTTAAGTAATGTTAATCCCTTTTCAGATCCCTGAGTGCAGTTTACTTTTTTAAGGTTAATTTCTTTTGTGTTCATGTACTTAGTAATTTACTCTTTCTTCCCACATATGTAACAAAATTATAGTGTGCATTTGAAAAAATATGAGTGTTAATAGCTTCTGTTTTTATTTGAAAACAAGCATCTGGGGCGCCTGGGTGGCTCAGTCGTTAAGTGTCTGCCTTCAGCTCAGGTCATGATCCCAGGGTCCTGGGATCGAGCCCCGCATCAGGCTCCCTGCTCTGTAGGAAGCCTGCTTCTCCCTCTCCTACTCCCCCTGCTTGTGTTCCTGCTCTCG